CATAACCCTCTATAATCACATTAACTTCTATTTTTCTTCCGATATTTACTTTTTCTCTAATCAGTTGAAAATATGTCTATTCGATCTGCAGGATACACTGTAAACGAAGATATTCTATTATGTAGAATGCATTTAGATGTTTCTCAAAATCCGATAACGAGCGTCAATCAATCCAAAGATCTATTTTTGGGGTCGAGTCATGGATGCATACAACAATACAAAGGAAGATATTTGGGAGATTTGCACCAAGAAATCGTTGCAACACCGATATGGAATAATTGAGATGGCAGTAAGAAAATTAAACGGATGTGTACGTCAAATAGAAAATATGCGTCCTAGTGGTGCTTCTGAGCAAGATATTGTGAGTATTTAATTTGTAGTTTTATTTTATTTGTATATATATATTTACTTGCTATTTTTTTAAATTATTTTTTAATATTGCAGCTTACACAAGCAAAAGCTTTACTTATGCAAGATCCGAACTTCAAAAAGGGTTTTAAATTTGATCATGTGTGGGCTATAATGAAGGATTTTGAGAAGTTTAACGATGTCGATTTTGGAAGGAAAAAACCAAGAAAGCAAGGCAATGCTAATATATCATCGGTGTCTGAGAATCCTACCCCTGATTCACCCTATCTATCATCTCCTAACTTATCATCATTCTCACTAAATTTAAATGGGGATGTTGCAGGTGATTCCACAACATCACAACGGCCTAGTGGAGTGAAGAAAGAAAAAATGAAGAAAAAAATTGATGAAGATTATGAAGACAATCCAATCAGAAAATAATCAGATGGTTGAGGCGATGAATAATGCAACCGAGGCAAAAAAAGAAGTTTTGACTGTTCAAAAGGAAAAACTAAGAGTAAAAGAAATAAAAGAAGAAAATAAAGGTTTAATGATGGATGTGGATTCTATTGTCGATCCGACTCGTCGTGAATTTATGCGACAAGAACAACAACGAATAATGTATAAAGGAAGTCAAGAATATCCACAGTCACAACCACAACAATCCCCAGCCCCATTCACTCAATACTATAATAATTTTAGTGAATCTGAAAACGACATACCTCCCTACTAAGTACTAAGGCAACGGGGCTCCAGAAAACTTACCGTGTACGCCATGTTGCAGGAATCTCCTGTGGGCAACTTGTGATCTTTTAAGCCAAGCTTCGCAGCCAACTTGCTCTCTTCTTTGCAACTTTGGTAGCGTACCTGCAAAACAGATCATGATTAAGTACATACTTTCAAAAGAATACTTAAATCGCCAAATACATATATGACACTTAACTTGGCACTTATTTTCAGTTAGACATCTTAACTTGATGTCTAACCTATTGAACACTTATCGGTGTAAATGAAAATTAGTGCCATGTAGGGGTTCATCCATGTAGTTTGGCATACTTAAACTAAACTGAATGAAGTCATACCTTAAAGTAGTAAGAAACAGTCTTGTCATCTGGACCATCTAGAGGCTCCAACCGGTCAATGTTATGTAGGCTTGCTTGGAGTTTGAAAAAGTATAATCCTGCCATTCTATCAAATGAAGAAACGGAGAAACCATTAAACGTATAAGAGCATTTTCAATTTCTAGATAGTATAGCTATAGGTAATACGTGACTAAATATTGAGTTTTTTTTAAAAAGAAATACGGGTTGTCCCATAACTATTTGAAAGAAGTGACATAAAACAATGTAGAAATGACACAAGGCAGCCACTTTAAAGGGCTGCTATTTTGGAATTAACCAGTGCGTCCTGAATTTCAGTTTTTCAGTTTAATTTTTTAGGACAAAAATATCCTGAGTTGTCCTAAGTTGAGATTTTCAGTTTAAAATTTTAGGACAAAATAAGTACTAATTAATCTCTAAATAGCATCCCAGAGAATGGTTATATGTGCACTTGCCCTAAAACAATTCAATCAATAGCCAGGCACCTACCCGCATGCTTGTTGGCATATTTTTCTTTTTTCAATTATATTATTTAATATTTTGCTTTATAAATTTATTAGTATTAGAAGTATCCATTAATTACGCTTCTTGATATGTTACTAATGACAAACCTTTAAAATATTTTTAGACTTCATAAAATATTCAATCTAACTAATTCTTGTTGCATAATTTTTATGTTTATGATTGGTTTTTAAACATTTTTACTCATCTCGTTCACACAAAAAAACGCTAACATAATATATACTCCCACTATCTCAATTCTATGTGAATATATATATATATATATATATATATATATATATATATATATATATATATATATATATATATATTAGTATATTCCAAAAATACTAATACTTTTAAAATTTTGGAAACACATTACTTTATGACTATAATATTTTTTTAAAATATTTCTTTCTTAAACACGTGCTTATTGAAAGCTAATTTGTTATCATAAATTGAACGGGATAAAGGAGTTGGAGAAGGGGTACGTTTAATGGTTTCTGTGTGTTTTCATTTGATAGGATGGCATGATTATACTTTTTCAAACTCCAAGCGAGCCTGCATAATATTTCTGTTAGAGCTTTGGTTTAGA